TTAATTGATATTGCATTTACATGATAATGAACAGATTTTCCGATGACTTGTCATAACTCCTGAAACACGTCTTCGTTATTTTGTATTTACTTTGTCCTGAGGTTACTTACGGCACCGTTTGGCTTACAAAAAAAAAAAAAAAAAAAATGAATATTAATATTAACTTCAAAATAATTAGTAACGAACCTTAAAACTTTGAAACGTATGCGATAGTTCATTTGGGGTATCTGTTTGTAATTGGTAGAAGTGTAACAACTATTCGCCGATTCGATCCCGAGAAGATTTAGAAGCTTTTTAATGATTTTAAATTGACGTTTAGCTGTCCTTGGTTGTTTAGCATTCAACAAACGATCCTGGTGGAAGAAACAGTGACAAAGCTACACAAGGCATCTTACTCATTCTATACTCATTCTTCACCCATTTTTGGGCAATAACACGACTAGTAGCACCAGCACCATAATCCCTATTGGTTATAAAACCAATTGCTATTATTAGAGAGTAATGTTTACGTTTTAAACCCTTATTTTGAGTATACGTTCAAAGAATCTATTTCTATATCTAGAAGAAAACTAGCAAGAAACGGGACTTACACAATGTAGAATTTTTACACATATTGTGAATAAAGGCTTCCAACATTAGAAAAAGATAGGTTATGACATTTCCCAGCAATGTATATAAGACAGAATAATTCCTATAAAATATAGAAATCAAATTATTGAACAGTTGGGAAGACTGAAGAAGAGTTATGAGGAGCTGGCGTGTTCAGTTCCAGCTGAAATTTATGTGAGAGCGTCAGTCTCTTAAAGCCAAAACTGTGAGCAACAAGTTTCTAGCAAGATAGAATACAATCCACAGAATACATTGAATTTGTAAAACGTGTTGTTTACATCTTAATTAAACGATATGTTTGCAAACTAAGTAAATGCATCTTTAAATACCCCCGTCACAGAAAACCTGCAGACTAAGCAAATTCCCATTTTCCTAGTTGGTTTCCACTGAAATATTTCCATACAATGTTCACATCAATTTATTCCCTATATATATTGCTAGTCCCATGCCTCACTTTAAGTTTAATTTTCCTAAAATGATACACTCGCTTAGCTTAGTGAAGAGGTGTTAGGTTAATGAGACATAAGACTGCTTAAGGGTGTTACTCAACGTGTAATGAACAAAAAATTAAATTTAGAAAAACAACAAAAATTTCAAAGTGTTACAACAGCAAAAGAAAACTTTGAAAAGGCAAAAACCAACAATAATAAGATAAATTAATTTACAACGTTAAATTACAAGAAAAGAAAATCAAACGAAAATATAAAAGAATTATAGTTACTGACAAATTACATGACTTGTTTGTTTTGCAAAACTTTACTTATATATTTAATTCTTTTTACATACTGTTTATCGTCCCAGAAGCACACGCACCGATACACGCACTCCGAAACTCCTGATCTTCTTGGTCCCGTTGCCCGTGGTGATCTCCTCGATTGTCCTCTCCAGGTCCTCCAGCTCCGAGACTCCTGACCCCTCCTTCTTCTTCATTAGCCCTTCTCATTGGCTGATTACCGATAGGGTGTGTGGCTTATAGGTTAACGATGTTTCTTGGAAGTCAGCCCTACCGGTCATCGCCTAGCTCACATCAGCTGGGAAAGGAATTTGTAAATCGATGCTCATGCTACTGTTCAACTCTGTTCACACCAACTGGTCGACTAAGTGTAATGTGAACAGAGTGTCTGCATAGATGAGCACCGTGGGTACGGGGTTAATCCCCTTTCTTACAATATATATATATAAAAACATTAGTTTGAATGGGTAATAAGGTTTGCTGCTGCTATGTGGAAGATAATAAGGTGTGTTGTCTTTATTGAAATGTTGACAGCCTAGGATAAAATAAACAAATTTGCAAAATTTAATTAAAATATATCTTTAAACAAGCAAACTACAACAATTTCCTTTTTCCACCCTAAGAATAAAATTGAAATTTTAATGTACACTTTTTAGGAATTTTTTCCGTAACCGTCAGGCATACAACAATGCTTCCATATGCCAAATCATTATTTTTTAGCTCTACAAAATTTTTGAGAAAGAAATTACAAAATTTTATCTTCTAGGGTAAAAAAAATACAAATACAGATTTTTACGCCATAAAACCCCTCATAAACCCCCGTATCCTTGATTATGGATTTATTTTGATCGAACTCGTAAAATTTATTTAAGCTATTAACATTTACACACATTATTGCCCTCCCTGTAGCAGCAAACCTAGGTACTCGTTAAACTTAATGTTATTTAAATAAATTTAAGTGAAAATTAAATCAGGCAAAAGGAAATTCGCTTAGTCTGCAGATTTACTGTAGTGGGTGTGTTTATTTACACTTTAAATTTCTAAGTGCCATCCAAAACCAATTACCCATTACAAACAAACTGATCGTAAGATGAAACTTTTGGGGCAAATATTAAAATAGCTTTTAGCTACAGTTTGTTTTAATTAACTGTGATGCTATTTTAACGTTCAAGATACAAAAAACTCCGAACATGAATATATTTTATTGAGGAATATTATCACAGGGCAACGATGTGGTTAAAATTGGCAGATGAACAATAGGCTGACACAACAATGACCGAAACAAAAGAGATACTTCAATTAGCTGTTATTCTAGGGAACCCATTGTTGCACTAAAACTATGTCAATATCGTTAGGATAAGGAATATAATATGTAGTTGTACAGTCCAAGTCCTCCAAGACTTTAATGCACTTCTACAGACATCGCAAAGATTAACTATGTAACTTATCAGTGTAAATTAGAGAAAATTTAACTCATAGAAGATGAAGGGAGCTTTTAACCCTCGCCACAGCAACCCTACAGACTAAGCGAATCTCCATTTGCCTAATTGGGTTTTCACTCAAATATCTCCTTAATAATACCATGGTTATTCCCTTTTTAAATAACATTAGTTTAATGAGTTCATAGCTTTGATGCTACAGGAAAGATAATTAGTATTTAAGTGATTGTCAATAGTTTAGTATTAAATAAATAATTAAATAAATAAATTTTTCCAAATTTGTTTAAAACATGTTAATAAACAAGCAAACTAAAACAAAGAATAACATAGGAATTTTAATCGTCAGTTTTTTTTTTTAATTTTTCCCCTAACCATTAGGCGCATAACAAGGCTTCAGAGTATTAAAATATTTGTTTTTTGAAGCTCTACGAAATTGTTTGGAAATAAATTACAATGTTTTATGCTTTTAGGGTGAAAGATGAGAAACCCCAATCTTTACCCCACAAAACCCCGTTCCCATAGTCTGATCATGCTGGTTCACTAGCTCGTTTAAATAAATGTAGGTTTTCACGTTTATTCCAAGTTCCGTCAAATTTGATAATTCTTGCTCGAGTTATTGTGCTATACATACACAAATACAATTAATATTAGCCGTTGCGTGTTTTCACGAAAAAACTGTCAAATTTAAGAATAAAAAGTCAAAGAAACAGTAGGTTTTTATACATAATTTTAAAGGTTATTAGTTGAAGACGTTTTTAATAATATTTGACACTTTCTACAGTCTAGCGTGGCATAGAAAAACTAACGTAAAGGTTATTGAATTTTTTTCAAAAATCACCGATTCAAACTTCCAATGCACAATAAGGGCTCATAAAGATGCTTTATCTCAATGACTCTGTACTAATATTGTTATCTTCTTAGTGGCGGTTATGCCCAAAAAGTACTTCATAACATGCCATAAAAGTGTGCTGAGTTTAGTTTTTCTAGTATGGGCCGTTAAAAAACTAACAGGGGGTCTCCAGACTTTTTACTAACTCTGTATATAAATTTGAACGAATAGTGTTTTTGGTCTCTGGGGACATCTAAAGAAAAAGTAAATCGGTCCCGGGCTCAAGTCTTACCATGAGACCTATGGTAATAGCTACTTCCCTATAGGGAAACTCGCTAATAGGTCAAAAAGGAAGGCTTCATCCATGTAGAGTTGCATATAAATATGAACGTTTTATTTTTCTACTAAAGAGAATGACAGTGTAGCCAACCACACAGCACTATTATGATTGAACCACTGGAAACTAAGCACTGTAAATGTCACATGGGGGAGTCATGCCCATCATATCGATGTTTTACACTTATACTTAGTAGTTTAACACATAAAAGTTTCAACACTAACTTTGTTCCACCTTGTATATCGATTGAATTCATCAGTTCAGCTCATTGTTGCATTCTTGTCAATAGTTCGACATATTCAATAGGATAATATACATTTAAGTTGTTTTTTTTAGGTGCAGAAGCGGAGTGCGGAATCCGCTTTCCTCGTTTTTCCTAGAAGCGAACCATCATATGATCTCATCCATCCGTCATCTCTGTTCCGACTCCACTTCCGCACCTAGGAAAACCCGGCTTTACACAATACACAACCATAATACTCGTAAACAAAACGATTGAATCACTTACAAAACACCTGCCTATTTGTAATATATTAACAAAATTGAAATCAAGATGGAAGTTGTTTTGAGGGATTGTCTTTACATAAATAATGTTTTCGGATCTAAGTTTTTTAAATAATGTTCCAATATGGCGAAAAATCTATTTCGTCACACTGGCAAAAAGTACATTTTCAACCCTTGCTAATTTTAAAGTGGAACTTGAGTTCGGGTCGAAGAGAGTCACTTTACGCTCTAGTAATGACAGCTTATATACAGTACTATTACGTTGAAGGTAGACTTTTTGCTGATCCATTTGTGGTCCTGTCCAAAATTTTCTAGGACATAGTATAGGAAGGTGGTATGGTGGTGGAATGGTAGGTTATCCTCCACCATTTATCTAAAAAAATCCTAGCGTAAATTGTACCATTTGCCCGAGTACTTTATCACAATCAGTTAAGTGTTAGCTATCTCTAGTTACATCTGTTATGTCTGTGGTACGACTCTTGCATATTGTTGTATATTGTATTTGTAATCTCTTGTGTATTGTTCAACACCTTGTATGGTTGTCTGCAGGTTCGGAGACACGAGGGCACCCGACATCAAGTAGCTGATAGCGTGACATGGCTAGGATGAGGCTATCAACGTTGTCTTTATCGCTGTTAGTAGCCGTCGCGACGCAGCCCCAACCGAGCACCCCGCGAACACTTCATAGCAACGATCACAACCACGGCTTCCTCAACGAGCACAAACATGGCCACGCACACGCCTACAAGTCGCACGACCGCTCGCACAACACGCACGCCCAGTTTGCGGACGCGACCGGCTCAGCCAGCACCCCCAGTGGAGGTACGACCAAGCACGGAGACCCGCTTATCGTAGAGACGACGAGCGGATTGGTCCGCGGACTCAGTAAAACCGTCCTCGGCCGAGAAGTACACATCTTCACCGGTATACCGTTCGCCAAACCTCCTATCGGGCCGTTGAGGTTTCGCAGACCTGTTCCCGTGGACCCGTGGCACGGAGTCTACGACGCCACCTCCTTGTCCAACTCATGCTATCAGGAGAGGTACGAGTACTTCCCCGGGTTCGAGGGTGAGGAGATGTGGAACCCGAATACTAACATCAGTGAGGACTGTCTCTACCTCAACATCTGGGTACCGCAGCGGCTGAGGATCAGGCACAAGAGCTCCTCTGAGGAGAACACCTACAGACCGAAGGTAAGATCGTCACATCTCTTCATTTATAACCATCAGTAAGATGATATTTTATGGGGAAGAGGGGATTAGTTTCCGTTTAGTGATTAAATCAATTGTATTTATGGTATTTAAACATTCCGTACTAAATGTATACTTTGTAAACAGTATTTGTCTGCCGTTTGATACAATCTCTTTGTAAAACATTTCATAAAACCATATTTTTCTAGCTTTACTGGCTAGTCATTATATCATAGTCATCAGACGAAGATTTTCATTTTATATAATGTCCTCTTGAGCAAACTGTTAGCGTATTTCAATGTTATAATAAAGAGGTGTAAAAAACAGCATTTTTTTCTTGTAAATAATTAATATGAAATATGTAAATTTAATCAATAGCTCAACCCATATAGGAGGAACTTAACGTAAATACCTAATTCAAGCTCAGATTTATGAATTACTTACCCTATCTTTTTCATATTTATAAGAACAGATTTGCTCAAGTTTCCTGGCTTTTAAAGTTTTATCAGTACATTGACGAATCCTGTTTGTTTTATCGTCAACTTTTATTATTTATCTATTTTTTTATTCGACTACCTTCAACATAATTTTTTCTACTGTTGACTAATGGTATATGTGGTGATCAATATATAGAAAATCACCGTTACGTCATAGTCATATTAGAAAGCTAGAGGTGACCGCAATAATAAAATATCATTAAATTGATTTTTGCTTTGAAATGTTTTACATCCTCCCAGGCAAATATATTTTCATTGTAACATACGACAGTGCTGTCTACCTACATGAATCCGGCTCTTAAATGACTTTCAGTTCTCTTAAAAGGATTGCTTAGGCCAAAGTACCTGAAAGAGAAAAAAATGGACAATAGGATAATAACAAACACAATTCAACTATATTTGATAAAGAGATACACTACAAAAGGGAGCCGCATAGCTTTTTGAAAAGACCAAGCAGATTCAGTGCTTAAAATATTTTTTAATGGTTCATGCATTTGATTATTTAATTCGATCGAAGGGTATAAAAAAATGTTAAGTGAAATGTAAACATATTTTAAAACTAAATTAGTGCTACTTATTGGCGATATTCGTAAACAAAATGCAATATTTGTTACAAATGAATATTTAAATAAATTATTAAAATGATTTTTGGAAACTCAAAGCCTTACTCAGAAGTAAATACAGATATTTCCATGATTAGAAACCCACAACACTAACTGTTAAGCTTGCAAGATACGTCCTGGGTTTACATGGGGAATACATAAACAAATTTGGATTATCACTATGCCAAGTGCTCTACGTGCATAATAGCAATATCCGTGTTGTATGATACACAGCATATTAGGGAACCTTGATTAGAAATGTTTATCATTTTACAAAAATACCCATACATATTTAGTTAGGTTATAAACAGTCAATAACAACACTAATAATCACTGAGAATAGTTGATTCTAACCTTGCAATCTGTGCAAATATGATAACATTGAAGCGAATTGTACTGTATTAAAAAAGATTTACGCGCAACAGTGAAAGGGCTTGGTTAAAATATACTTGTTTATTTTTGTTTGAAATAACTTTATAACAAAATGATTATTAATTTTTAATCTAATTCGCCATTATAAAGAGTTGTTTGTTTAAAACCTAATATAATATTATCACTTTTGCACATATTGAAAAGAGCAAATGTCAAAACAACAGTCTGGAGCATTATAAAAATACTCCAATCTTGTTTATATGTGGAATTAGTGAAACTTTCCTCTAATGTTGAATTCGTAAGCAGTAATTACCAAACACCTGAACTGTCATAGTTGTGTGAGAATTTAATATAGACTGATTGATAAAAACTGTAGGTAAACATTTGCTTAAAATATATTTCACTTAATATTCTTGTTTTAAACTGTCACAAAGACAAAATTAGGTGTAAGATCGAAGACATTTTATGTCTCGCTCTGTCGTTTATTCCTTTCCTAAGCCTATATCAAAAAGCTTCGCTTCTCGTCTTAAGAAATTATTTAGATATATTTAAAGTATGCTTATATAGTGTGTTAAAACCCAGAAAAAACGTTAAGCCGCTGTATTAAATACTGATGTAAATTTTGAAATTTCCAACCTCCGTCTCTACTAACTTAAAAAAAAAATGAATCAAATTATTGCTTTCTCAAGCGGATGAAGACGAAACCTCCATCTCAATGCGCTCCGAATCCCATCTCAAACCTAATACCGTCTCAACCACCCTGGTAACATTTTATTCTGATGAATACGTCATGTATTCTCTTCACTCTCGATTTCTTTAAAAATCTTCTCAGAAAATCTTGTTGACGTTCAGACAGATTTTTACATTCAAACAAAATGGTGAATCCACAAATGCAATCATCAATATCACTAGAAACATTAATAATTTTGAAATTTTGAATAATGTGAATTTGAATAGGAGGCACTTAGAAAATAAAAAAAAAATATCACTAATCGCACAAACCTTACACTGGTAACATGTCACATGTAATTTTTCAGTTTTATTTTGTTTACTTTAACTAACGCGGCAGGCAGGGTAGGACGTATTTTAACAAATTGACTTTAATAACTATATTCCTGTATAAAATTGCAACCAGTTCATTGAGTTATCGCAGCATTTCTTGTCATTTTAAGATAAAATAATCGGTATCAGCAATCTGACATAATACAATAATACTTTTTCCTATTAGCGTGTCAACAACCCTTATTAAGTGCAAACAGTGAGAACAACTGTCCCATGGGGGAGCCTTCCCATTTTGTTTAGAGTTAAAAGGACAATACTATGACTAACTAAATTGAGTCGTTTTGTTAAAATCTGATTTTAACGTTAGGCATATTTGATGGGTTTTAAAAGACAATCGCCATTCAAATAAAAATCTCCAAATAACTAAAAAAGCTCCTGGAGATACCATAGAAAAGTACCTACATACCAAATTTCATCAAATAAAGACCACAGGTATATTTTGTAGCTCTGTACACATCCCTCCAAAAACACCTAAAGATAAAACCAAACATAAAACACCATTATCAGCACAAAACATACTTGTACATAGGATTGCGTAATTTATTTAACTTAGAAAACCACTTTTTTGGGTTGACGGAGACCCGAAAGGAAAATTTACACTCAATTTGTAAAATTTTGAGGAAAATAATACTTTCGCCATATACTATGTATAGAGGGTGAAAGTAAAAACTACACAGCTTTATTTTATAATACGTAGCAAATTTCTGTTGTATGCGTTGCGTATGAAGCAATTGTACTGTATATAGCATAGTAATCTTTTATAAAAATACATTCTCAAATACTAATACAGTTTTTTAAAAGCGATTGGAAGGTTATAATTGTATAATACAATACATTATTTTGAAAAGTGTATAATTCTATACGTACACGGTTTTGAAATAATAAAAGTGTACATTATTTGACTGTTACTTCATTATTTAATAGATAGATTTATTATTTAACTTTTGCCCTCGTAATTCCAGCTAAACATGTTGTTATAGAAATCTTATATATCTTTTGATATTAAAATCATTCTAACACAACATTATCAAAGCGTTTAAAAAGTAAACATTTTAAATCTTATAAATTTGAGTCTATTACTTATTCTTATACAGGGTGTATATAAAGTCCCGCACGGACATAATATTTTCTAAACGACAACAGATAAATCAATAAGATTTGGTACATCAACACCACACCTAAAAATCCACTTTTTCAAGGAAATATGAATTTTCTGTCATATCATGGGGACGTCCCACAAGGAGTCGGAAGAAAATCTTAAACGGAAGCAAAGGTCAATATTCACATCAAATAAAAGGTCTTTTTTAGTAGAATACAATGCCGCAAACCGCACTTCAAAAGGTTAATCCTGCGCAAAATGGCAGCCGTTCAAAGATTTCTTGAATCTGCCATTTTGAATCTTTGAACGACTGCCATTTTTTACTCAGGCGTCTTTTGAGCTTGAATTTACGGCATTGTAATCTACTAGTGAAGACCTTTAATTTGATGTGCATATCGACCTATGCTTACGTTAAAATTTTCTTCCGATTCCTAGGGCTGTGCCCCCTGAGGAGTAAGCGTATAATAGCAATGCAAATTAAATGAATCTTTGAACAACTGTCATTCTTGGCTCGGTTGTCTGTTTGAGTTCAAATTTGCGGCATTATATTTTGCTAGTAAATACCTTTAATTTGATGTGCATGTCAACCCATGCTTCTATTTAAGATTTCCTTCTGACTCCTTGCAGGACGTCCCCATGATATGACAGAAAATTCATAGTTCCTTGAAAAAGTAGATTTGTACGTGTGGTGTTGATGTACCAAATCTTATTGATTTATCTGTTGTCGTTTAGAAAATATTAAGCCCGTGCGGGACTTTATATATACCCTGTATAATCTTTTAAAACGTGATCCAAACACGTTATAGTGACTACAACTTGATATTAATACTTCACCGTAAGACTACAAAGATCATAGTTATTTACGAAGCTGTTGACAATGAACAAACTAAAGGGCAAGTCTGCTAAGGAGAAATATTTGTGTCTGTTAAATTTCATGTGAACATGGTTGCTTTTAAAAGATCGCTATCTACATAATTGATAAAGACAGTGAGAATAAACATCAAACATGTAATTTCACTGCGACAAACGATGATATCATGACTATTTATGTGTTTTAAAAAACTAAAGAAATACAAACGATATGCATTTAAACAATTTTCAATCTTGCTTTAAATAAAGATTCATTGTATATTTTTAAGTTGTTGTTGTCATTTTAAAGTATTGTTTGCTAAACCGTACTAACGAATTATAATTATAATTAATAATTATAATTAACAATATATCCTAAACTATAAACTACAATACTGTATATAAATGGGAATGTTTCTTCTAAAACAATGAATTATGAAATGACAGATGGGCGAGAATCAGCAACCTGCTATTACAGCTATGAAAATAATGAAACTAAAATAGGTAATAGTACTAACTGAA